TAATAAAAATAAATATATATATATATATATATATATATATATATATATATATATATATATATTTCTCATATAAAGATTGTGGTGATGGCAACATTGTGTGTCTTTCAATTTGTTTCCATCTATCACATCCTGTTTTCCTCTGTTACTCTCCTTCTGGTTTTCCTCACAGACTATGAAGCTGAACATTTGGCCTAAATCAATGCATCAAACACACACACGCACACAGCAGCTCATATACCGTAACCAGCTAATTGCATAATTACTCTCAGCTTTCTGCCTGTTTTTTGAGTATATATGTGCCTGTGTGGGAGCAAGAGAACAGAATTATGTGTTAATAAGTATACGTGTGTACGTGTGAGAGACTAATTATGTGTTAATAAATGTATTTGTGTGAAAGTAAGTGTTTGTGATGGTGTGAATATTTGTGTGTGCATAAGCATGGAAGATTATGAGTACATGAAGTATGCGTGTGCATGAAAACTTCTGTCATGACCTACATGCATTTAAGTGGGTTTGCATGAGAGTACTGTTTGTGTATATGAGAAGTTGTACTCACTGTCTAAGCATTGACCACATTCGGTCTGGGTGGCCCCACACTCCTTGACCACTCCCTCTCCTGGAGGACACAGCACACAGCACTCCCCATCTTGAGTGAAACTGCCCGACTCACACTCCTCGTCTATGGCCCGCTCCAGCTTAGAGCCAAGCACCAGCCCAACCTACAGAAAGAAAGAAATTACATTATTATTCCATCTCTCTAGGTGTCCACAGGTTCCTAGTCTCCAATTACCCATAATCCCCTGAGATATTTTGATGTTAATATGTTAATTAAAGTGTTTGCAAGACAATATAGTCATATTGATATTCCTTAAATGCTATTTCCTTCTTATTATCCACAATTTGCTGCAATTAATTCAACCTGAACCACCTACAAACTCCATTTAAATGTTGTTTTGCAGATAATTTAATGTCTTTATTTGTTTTAGGATTAGATTTGGTTGTGGTTATTGTGAACTTAAATGTTAAATATATATATATATATAAGCATATAAAGTTATATAAACAAAAAAGAAAATCTCCCATTGACTTAAATTTTGCATATTGAATTGTGACAGCTGACAGAGGACAAGAATCATGAAAACTGTGATTCTAAACTTAAGTTTTCACAAAACTTTTTAGTCATATTTATTTATTTGTTCTGGATTTTTAGAATTTGTATCGGTTTTCCAGTACAAATATCTAAACCTTTTTAAATTTGTATGGATTTACTTAGGAAGCATTATGACTTAAGATATATTTAAAAATACCAGAATTAAGTTTATGCTTAAAACAAGAAAAAATATTGGTAGCACTTATTTTACAGTCCTGTTCCACATGTACCTTGTACTTATTATGGTAATTACAATAACTGGGTAAGGTACTAACCACAAACCTACCCCTAAACTTAACCTTAACCTAATTACTTTCTTAAGTAAGTACACTGTAAGTACATGTACGTGTGCATACTTAAAAATTTCAACCTAAATATCTGCCAATCAGGGAAGAAAAATCAACTTAATTCAAAGGGAAAACAAATTCATGTTTCTTGCTACATTGGCAAATATTTTGTCTTGTTGTAAGCAAAAACTTTTTAATTTAAAAACTTTTATTTATTTATTTATAGAAAAGAAAAGAAATAATTTACTTCTCAAGTAAATATAACTTGATTTAAGAATATTTAGATATTTGTACTGGAAAAGATCTTTTGGCAGTGTACTCTACTTTTTCCAGTTAATCCCTCTCATGGTCCATAAACGCCTTCATATTTGCTGCATATGGGGACTACAGTTTGGTAACAGCTGCATCACAGCATATTATGCTGATTGTATTTCACTGGTGTGTCCAAAAGCTGGGGAATGCTGAACAAGATGAGACAGGCAGTTGGAGTTATACATATGTCTACTGCATGTCCAACTGTTTCTCTCGTATTGCAGTGGGTACGATTACACATAATTTACACATCGAGGTCTCAGAGATCAGAGTCCGCAGACCCTCTTTACCCAAGACATCTATTAGCCCTACCCTTCCAATATGTGCTTCCTCTTTCACAGGTCCTGATCTGTTTGTTGAGTATTGTCAGTAACCCAAGGGGTCAAAAACATCTGTACAAGCAGGAATGGGCAGTATTTAAGATACATGTATTTAAAATTTGTATTTGAAATACAAAATACTATTTTGTATTTTAAAGCCTTTGGAAAAAGTCATATGTAATTTGTATTTAAAAACATTTAAGATTAGTATTTTTGTATTTTCAAAATACATAAAATACTCTGTGCCAGTCAACCTCTTTATCAGGGTGCTGATTTTGTGTATCAACTAGTTCAGACACGCCCCCTCCCCCCAACCTCAACATTCATGCATGTGAGCTGCAGCTGTACAACTCCATCCAGCATTGGGTGAGGGACTTTTCTGGAATAAGAGAAGGTGAGGATGTCATGTCAATTGTACTTGTTGATTAAAGTTAAAATAGTGCATCATTTGCCTTCAGTTAACATGAAAGAATAAAAGAGCACCAGCAAAGGAAAAAAATAGCGTTAGCCAATCAGTTTTGATAGTTAATTGGTTGTTGTTTTTTATTATAAGTGCAGTATGCCGCGAAAGCAAATTCAAATTCACACTCACACATTGGCAGGCAGTTTTTTGTTTGCACGCTCCAAGACGGAGTGGAATGCAGACAAGTAGACATACACTTTTGACTTAAAGGGGTGGTTCGTTGCGATTTCACTTTTTTAATGTTAGTTAGTGTGTAATGTTGCTGTTTGAACATAAACAATATCTGCAAAGTTACGAAGCTGAAAGTTCAATGCAAACGGAGATATCGTCTTTTAAAATTCTGGCAGTTTAAT